ATTTTTCAAGTTATCTACATCAAGCTCGGCTTGCTTTTAGTGAATATCCGCTCTCTTTGTTCAACTTACCCACTGTAAAGAAATATAAAATCATTTAGATCACTAAAGGTCTAAACGGTCTTCTCTTTCTTTACAGAGGGAGTATAGTATGAATCTTTCTAAGCCCTGGTACTTTCAAAGACTTATCTTTTGGTACTATCTGGGCACTTTGAGTCATTCGTACTTAGAGAACAATTCCTGATTCTACAGTTTGAAATCATCATTTTCTTTGTTCCAGAACTGCTAAGCCTTTGAAACATCATGTGTTTGGATCCGGCACTTCCAAGCCGTCTCGGTTTGCTTCTTTGTGAGTCACAGTATATAGTCTGGTACCTTCGCTCTTATTCATGCAGAACTTCAAAGATGTGACTTCCCTCTTTCTGCAATTTCTCGTTTTGAGGTTTTGTATGCACTACGGAGTAATTGGTTTTACCCAGTACTTTCAAATTGTTTGCCGAGGAGAGTAGCGATTTGGACGGTGCGATCTCTCGCTCGCCTAAGTTCATTGGGAGTCAGGCGTTGGCCATGGAGCGTGGAGTTTCAGATGTTGCTGCCTTTCCCTCATCTGCGACCATCGAGCAGGTGATGCCTGTGAGTGGCATGGACATTGAGCCAAGTGTGTTGGCGCCTACTAAATCCAGATGCTTTCTTCGTGAAAGAACTTTGTGACTTGCTCACTAGCGCGGAGATTGCTAGACCTGATTTGGGCAGGTCGATTGCTTGCCTCCCCGTCAATAAGTGGCAAACAAAAGAAGATGGGCAAATGCAAGAGTGGCGTCATAGGCAAGGCGTCTCTAATTGCTTGATGGATGATCTTCGGTCTCTCGTCATGTCCTCTTGGATTGGAAGGTGCATGATGTCTTATGTCGAGGTGTTCTTGTCGTGATTCACTTGGCATAGTAGCAGTTTCAGGGTTTGTGGATGTTGTGCATTCGGAGAGTTTGGCAAGGGCCAACTATGCAGTAGTGGAGTTTCTTGCCATTTGAGTAGTTAGTCCGTGCTCCGTGTGTGTATGTTTTCGCCCGGTTTTTCTTAAATTAACTAGGCAATTCTCTTCTTCTTAATAAATCGATGGGGCAAAACTTTTTGCCTCCATTAAATAAAAATGTTCTATGTTCGCGAAAAAGGTGCTGCATTTTTCATTCGGAGCCATCGCTCAACTTTTCACCTTTCAAGTATTCCCTCCGTTCGAAATTACTTGTCGCAGAAATGGATGTATCTAGATATATTTTAGTTCTAAATACATTCATTTTCGAGAAAAGTAATTCCGAACAGAGGGAGTACTATATTTTCTCTGATTTTGAACGCTACCTTGGACTTTCAAATTTATTTCAACTGTTTCAGTAGTTCCTCAAGTTTTCTCCCGGCACGTCCCAGCCCAATTACCTTTTGCAGTAACGGTCAGATTTTGGACTCTGTATATATACTCTCATACCCATTTGTGGTGTAACGCATCATAACCAACCGACTCTATTCCACCACAAGTCATTCCACTCACCCACTCAACTCCTTGCAAGCCGCTCCACACCACTCCAGGTCCATCTCACTACACTACACTCCTGAATTCCCTACAACGCTAAAAATATACTCCCTTTGTCCCTCAAATGGATGTATATAGCACCAAGTTAGTGCTAGATACATGCTTTTTCAGACGGAGGGAGTATCAGGTTGCCGCTAATTGATGAAAAGGCAGGTAGTAAACGTTTAGGATCTGCGACTGCTTCACTGTGATGTGTTAAACTTCTCTTGTAAGCTGTTGTGAGGTAGTATAGTATTTCAGAGTACAATAGGTGAATGCATGAAGCAGGCTCCAGCGTTTGCTCCTTGTGATCCAATGCATGACGGTACAGACGATATGGAATTTACACCAGCCCCTGACAAACCCATCGAATCTGCTAGCACATGGAGAAGATCTAGATGGTGCTTACATCAACTTTGCTCTTGGAAATTTGGAAGGCGGGGGTGATCCAGCTGCCGCAGTTGCACTGGATCCCTGACCAGTTGAAGTACCCTAGGCGCGCCCCGCAGTGGATGCACGACAGCTTCCCCTCCAAAGCGCCATCTTCTACTGCTTCATCATGAGCGACATCAGATAATGAACAGACTGGTGATATGCTATGGACTGCATCGATATACATATATGTGAACGCACTATGTTACTGCAAGAGATGACTTTACCTGGAGTCATCCACTTGAGAGGCTCGACATACAGAGAAGAACAATCTTGTTCCTTGTTGTGTGTGTGGCCTTTCCTCTTGTCGTGCCACGCAAAGCTAGAGTTGCCCTCACCAGGTGTGTGGCCGATAACATTGTCCTGTGCAGCAGCGATCCTCCTGCATTTCTTGCAGCGGTATGCTGTTTTAAGGGCCTTCTCCTTGCCTGACAATTCCTGGGTAGGATTAGGCTGTCGAGCAACTCCAGGATCGTCTTCAAATACATGGTTTCCTATTTTCTCTCCAACTTTGTAGGACTGACCTGCGACAAGTAATAGGCAAACACTTAATCAATGTGCTGCTAAGATTGAGAAATATCACTGGGGCGGCAAGTAGAGCAACTGAATCTGCTTGATATGATAAAATTTTACAGAATCTATGACAAACTGTTCTATTTTCAGCAAGAGAGCACCTTGCAACCACAAGAATTAGAAGGCCCACAAAGGCAAGGGAACTTGACGAAATGATAAATGTTGGAAAATGACCAACCTAACAACTTTAAGCGGAAGCGCCGGTATAAAGAACTTGAAGTATCAACCTTGAAACCCATTTCTTCAAACAATTTTAACTGCAAGGTATAGGAAATTCAACTTAATAAAAGAAATCTAGTGAGATATAGTGCAACCAGTTCATAATGAAAGCTTACCTGGTCAAGGAAACCGTCGTTTGGGCAAACGGACTCGTTAATTTCCTTCAAGGACTCTAGTGCTTCTGGAAAAAGAATAAAGTAGTGAATGCCACAAGGATTATAAAAGGTGGATCAGATAATTCAAGCAACGTACAAACTAAAGATTAGTGTATTACAAATTTTGCTCAAAACAAAAAATATATATCATACCTTCCAGAGATTTCTGCTCTGTCCTCATTAGATATGCCGTGATGATGGTAGCACTGCAGCATGACAGAAATTCCAAATAGATGTTATATAGTGAACGTGGATGGCATCATCATAAGTGAAAAATACACATTCCCCATTTCCAGCACATCAATTAGGAAGTTATATGTGGAAATTGCAATGCATCCTATAATAATTGGTTACCAAGAGCCATGAGTTGTCAGCTTTCTTACTTGCTAAACATTCTTAAGCTCAAAAACATAATGTCTCATGTGACTAAGAATATCTTTTATACTAGAACTCACTAAACTTATCATTACTTACTATAGCAGGATTACAAATAACAAAGAACGCCGATAAAAATATGGAATTGCATTAAGCCACATGCACCAGTTAAAACAAGATTTGGCCCCCTTCACAAGAAGACTATAGTTTCAACTACAAGAAACTTCTATTTAGCTTGTCAAGCTCCATTACAATTGGACATATGTTAGACCAGTGTGACCCTGAAAAGAGGTGGCGCTTCATGGGTTTATCAGGTCTGTAAGTCAGTTTCAACACCACCTTGCTTGCCTGACAATTCTATCGCTAACCGCAATCCATCACAGGTTGCTCGAGAGACATGCTGCAGCCATCTTGCTCCGGCGAATTTAAAAAAAAACAGTATCCTCTTGCAAATCATACCCATGGCTCCTCATTGCTAGGGGCAACACTGATAAGCTCATCATAGCCAAAGTATATGGCAAACTGAAGTAACGCCAGAGTCACCAACCACATTTCAAAACTCCTCCATCCGCCACCACTCCCAACCTAACTCTCAAATGCTTTAGCTGTCAGCGTGTCGTATCGGACTGTGTTCAAACCTCCCACACATAGCCAGGCTAGCGCAAATTGGCACCTCATGTAACTCAACAAATACCAACTATCTGCCATGAACTCCCAACGTGGTTCACCATAGAAAACGGTGAAGCCTGCTGGCTTCCCATGGTCACGCACAAACACATCGATGTGGGACTTCAAGTGTTTCACGTCCACCTCTTCTCAACAGAACAACACCAAAAGACCACTCCCCTCTTAACTGAAGAGGCATGCTGGAGTCTAAGGATGAGACAACCACTTTCTGCTCTCTTAACTAGTAGCACTTTGCTTTCCGAGAGAAAAAAAATTGAGATATGCAATGCAGCCTGGAGCTTACAAAATGCCTCAGACTGCCCACAGCCTCAGCAGGTCAGATTTAAAATTTTATTATGCCTGGCGGGGGTGCTCCAGATTAGCAGCATCCACCAGTTTTGCGTTGATAGGCATGGTCCCTTCTTTTCTAGCTTAACATCACTATCACCAGCCTTCACCTCTTTGTTCTGGTTGGCGGGCAACCAAACATGCCCTAATGCTGCCGAGTGATACGAGTAGTTAAAAAAATCTATTAACCGTGTATTTAGCCAAAAATTAGATGATTTGTGTATTTTATTTTCTATTCAGCAAAACGCAGTTTCTAGCTAAGTGCCCAGTTACTAGTTTTATTTGCAGTTATTGTAAGTGTTCACTACATCTCCCTCCCATACACATGCGTACATAAACAGGATTGGAACATTAGTCACCATAGCAAGTGAACATTTTAATCCGTGTTTACCAGATGTATCCAGTTAGAGCATCAGACAAACAGAAATTTACGAAACAAACTGATATCTATGTAAGTAGATGGCAGATTATTGACAATGATTACGGCGTATCATACATCTTTCAGATGCATCTTATAGAACGGGCAGCCATGTGGACCATTTGTGCTAGAGTTTATGTAATGTTGAGGTGAAACACGACCGCAAATTGAGTTTGCTCCATTTAGCCAAATCATTACAGATGGACATTCATGTGATTTGAAATGCTTACAGTTACTTTGCAGGAAGGTGTTCACAAGATAAATATGGCAACCAAACTAAATTTTCGTCACATGCAAACAAGGATATAAAGACGAAGAACGAAGTCGCGGCATCAATTAAGATCGTCTACAAAAACATGTAAAAGCTCGAATGAAACTATGAAATACAGGTAGTGCGTGATTACTTCTCCTTGATTAAGCATTTCACCTGAGACAACAAAAACGTGGGGCTTGCAGAACAACGGAAGCAACCGGAATCAGGTGATGATAAGCAAGCGTACCTCCGGGAGACCCCCGCGAAGCAATGCACGAGCACGTTTCCCGCCTTCCTCCCCTCGTCGATAAAATCGAGGCACGGCTCGAGGTGGTCGAGCAGGTTCTCCTCCTCCGTGTCCTTGAGCGGCACGGCCATCCGCGTCACCCTTAGCCCTTCCCCGGTCCTCTCCACCACCCGCATCAGCCGGCCCGGGGCCACCGCCGAGGGCGTCCCGTCCTCCCCGGCGACGACGCAGCGGACCTCCTCGGCTGGCAAGGAGAGGCCCGGGCGGTAGTCGGTGAAGAAGGAGATGGAGGCGGAGCTGACGACGGAGAGGACGTGGGTGATGTCGGTGCCGTCCGGGAGGGAGGCGGTGAGGGCCGCGATGGCGTCGTTGACGTCGCCGAAGTAGAGGTGGTCGCGGACGAGGTCCGGCATGGCGGTCGGGACCGGGGCGTCGCGGGAGGTGGCGGCCATGGGCGGGCGGGCGGTGCGGATGGGGAGGAGGAAACGAAACCCTAGAAGAGGAGGGTTTGCATTTGGTGGGTTGCCCTGCTGCTGCTGTCTGCTGTTTTCGCTGAGCTCTCGCGCGGTTGCAGAATTGCTTTTGGAACTGAAATTGCAGTTCGAAATTGCATAGTTTAGTCAAACTAGTCCTGAATGACCAGGACTCGAACGAGTCAACGACTCAACGTGGTGACACTCGGCAGGACATTCTCTTGGTAGTACTGCATATTGATTTAGTACCTTCCTCAGTCACGCGCTTGGGGTAGTGCAAAATGGAAGAGGCCCAACTCCAACACACGATTCTAAAAATATGTCCGGCCACGTTCGGGTAAATGGACACAAATCACGGCCCAACATGCAGAAGCAAATAGATAAACGTCTGTTTTTTTTGTCCGTCATCGATCCATTTCCGGCTCCACGTTTGCATCAAAATGGACAGCGCGCGGACGGGTGGGGATATGCCTTTGTCCTCTCTTGGCTCGCCCGTCAAGAATACAAACACTTTTTTTTTCTTCCCCTCCCCTGCGCCCCCACCCCCCGCTACGGCCATAGCCGCCACCGCCCGCCATTTTCTCGGGCCGCCTTCTCGCTGTCCAGCCTAGCCTTGTCCTCTCTCGCCCCGTCGACGACACACAACCAGTAGATTTGTGGTTGCCGCCGCTGTCGCTGGATTTGGCGCATCCGGCCACTGGCCTTGCCATGGATTGGCCGAGTGCCGGACCACACAGCCCCGGCAACGCCTCTGCGCCGCATGCAGGTACTAACTCCGCTTCTAGCCGCTCAGATCTATGCTGACGGCGGTTCGCTGGCAAAGATTCGCCCGGCCGCCGCCCGGGCTCGGCGTTGGACCAGCAGCTCGTCGGCTCATCGTTGCAGGTCATAAAATGTGACGACTACCCGCGGCAGGTCGTGCGCCGGGTTTCTGCCATGCCGGAACATCCCGGATGGGTGTTCTTCAAGTGCAAAAAAATATGAGGTATGTGCTTCCTTTTATTCAGTTGTGCTCATGGATTTTGTTGGGGATATGACTAACAGATATGACCCGCCCAGGAGGGGCCGGGTCAACCACAATGGCGGTTCATCTAAAATGAAGCCCAAGAGTATACAAGATGGCGGTTCACAGTTAGGCTTGTAAGAGGCCCAAGCCCAGAGGCGGCTTAAGGCCCGTAAGTATAAACCGTCATGTATGTGTAGGCTTGTAATGTAAGGCATGTAAGATATGTCACCGAGCCGGACACATTGTATGAGCCGGCCGGGACTCTGTAGGCCGCAGGGCGTCAACCCATGTATATAAGGGGACGACCCGGCAGCGGCTTAGGGCAAGAAACATCAGATCGAGAGCCAGGCAAAGCATGTTTGCTTCCTGGTAATCGAAACCCTAGCAATACCACCTCAAACTGGAGTAGGCCTTTACCTTCACCGCAAGGGGCCGAACCAGTATAACTCTCCGTATCCTTTGTCCCGTTTCACCCTTTTAAGCTAACCTCGTCGCCATTGTTGAGGAAATCGTTAACTGTTAACTGCTCGGTTGGCTGGCGAGTAGGGGATTAATAGGCTAATCGGCAAGTTAATCAGCCATTTAATCAATTAATCGGACGATTTATCAGTTTATCGGCTACTCGGTGACCCTATGAGTAGGGATTAATCGGCAAGTTAACTGGTTAATCGGATGAATTCTTGAACAGGGCTCGTCGCAATGGCTCCACAACTAAGTCCTTCCATGAGGACATCTGTCGTGATACTTCCACGACAGTTGGCGCCCACCGTGGGGCTAGCGCATGGTGGTTTTGAGTTCTTAAAGGGCAGCTTCGAAGGGCTCAAGAGATACTGAAAGTGCATTATATCAGCTAGAGGGGGGTAGGCGATTTTTATGAAATCTTCACTGAGAAATTTCAGGGTGAGGAAATTCCTGAGTGAAGAACTACTTGCAGCGGAATAAGTACTCAGAAGTAAACATAACAGAACATGAGCATGGTCTTCATGATGAAATGAAAAACAAGCACAGAGTATAGAAAGCGTAAACACATGATAACACGGGATGAAGACAAACAGACTGAAGAAATTGAACTAAGGAAATAGAGAAGGTCTTTAGTCAAAATCTTCAAACAGATATGAACAAGCTCACAACACAGAAATGAGGAAATGAAAGGCTTGAGGAAATGGAACCAGGTAGCTTGGTGAAGACAATGATTTGGTAGACCAGTTCCAACTGTTGTGACAGTTGTACGTCTAGTTAGGGCGGCTAGGTATTTAAACCTGAGGACACACAGTCCCGGACACCCAGTTCTAAACACGCAGTGCATAACACTCAGTCCTCACTGTATTCCCCTTGAGTTAAGGTCACACAGACCTCGCCCAACCACTCGTGGTAAGTCTTCAGGTGACTTTCAAACCTTCACAGACTCGGTCCCTCGACGATCCACAATTTCCTCTTGGATGCTCTAGACCATGACGCCTAACCGTCTGGAAGATGCACAGTCTTCAAAGGTAACAAGCATCGGATCCACGCAGGATCAATCTCTTTAGTGATGCTCAATCACTTTGGGTTGTAGGTGTTTGGGTTTGGGTTTTCCTCACTTGATGATTTTCACTCAAAGTCCTCGAAGGATGGGATGCTCTCAAATGACAAGTGTCAGTTTCTCTTGGAGCAACCAGCCAGCTAGTGGTTGTAGGGGGCGGCTATTTATAGCCTAGGGAGCAGCTCGACGTGATAAGACATAAATGCCCTTCAATGATATGACCGTTAGGTGGGTAGATATTTTGGGACAGCTGGCGCATAGCACAGCAACGTTCGGAATTTTGAGTATTAAATTCCTCAGGGGTATCATGTTCCTCACTGTGTAGGCAATCCGCACTGGCGAATTCCTAACTCCTCAATCAGAACAAATTTCTCAGAAACCAGAAGAACTTCGTCTCTGTCACTGAAGAAATTGACTGAGTTGTATGAGATTTCCAATGGCTTCACTCGAAGGGATTGGTAGGTGTAGGATTTGAGTTGAGCATCACTTGGAAATTTTTCCTTAGTTTTTCCTCGACCCCCTTTAACAGTACGGTGTTTCCTATGACTCAAGAAAGAGAAAATGAAACTACAAAAACAAAAGTCTTCACGCTTCATGTTCCTTGAGCGAATACCAAGTCTTCAGGATTACACCAATTTCTTCACTTTCAAAGTCTTCAAAAAGTCTTCAGAAATACAAAGTCTTCAGTCGAAGAACTTCATTTTTAGGGGTCGACTTTCTCTGTAAATATCAAACTCCTCATAGACTTATAGACCTGTGTACACTCACAAACGCATTAGTCCCTTAACCTATAAGTCTTCAATGCACCAAAATCACTAAGGGGCACTAGATGCACTTACAATCTCCCCCTTTTTGGTGATTGGTGACAATATAGGTTAAGTTTTCAATGGGGATAAACATATGAAGTGTAAATACTGATATTGAGGATTTTGATTGCAAGATATAGAAGAACTCCCCCTGAAGATGTGCATAGTGAGGAATTTGCTTTTGAAGCAATGCACACTTGAAGAGTAGAATCATGGAGATCTCCCCCTATATCTTGCAATTCATACACGCATTTAACATAACATATGAAGAGTTTGAAATGCATGATGAAATATGGTGACTAATGTAATTCAGCATGCGTGCATTAACATTAATGAGGAATAAGCATGCAGAAAAACTCAGCAAAAGTATCAGACCACCATAGAGTTTAAGTTTACGACTCGATCGAATAAAGTCTCAAAAGAATGAGAGTTGTAACTTAGAAAAAAACGCCCATATAAGTAGACCCGCTTGAAGACTAACTCAAATTTCTCCCCCTTTGTCATTGAATGACCAAAAGGATCGAAAATGAGGACTAACGCCCCTGAAGAATATCAAGTTGATGGAGGAGCGCCAACGTTGTTGGGGTCGTTTGTCGTTGTAGGGCCTGTCGCAGTGTCGTCCAAGTCTTCATACTCGTCGGTGTCTCGGGATGAAGAATACGAGCTAGCCGCCAAGGTAGGAACTTTGACCTTCTTGAATTTCTTCGGAGGAGGTGCAGACCAGTCAAAGTTCTCCTTGAGACCCATTTGCTTCAGATCTTCCTCACCGTACAGATGTGATAAGACAGCCCAGGTGCGACCTAAAACTTCATGGAGGTAGTAATGATTTTTCTTCACTGCATTATGTGTAGCAGTCATGTTGTGAAGAATTGAACCAAACTGATGCTTAACCCATCTATGGCTGCGATCCACCTTCTGGTGAAGACTAAGAAGCAGCTCACGGTCAGTCATCACTCTTGGAGCTATGGCTTGAGGAGTAGACTTGGGTGCATTTGTAGTAGTGTAAGTGCATCTAGTGCCCCTTAGTGATTTTGGTGTATTGAAGACTTATAGGTTAAGGGACTAATGCGTGTGTGAGTGTACACAGGTCTATAAGTCTATGAGGAGTTTGATATTTACAGGAAAAGTCGACCCCTAAAAATGAATATCTTCGACTGAAAATTTTGGTATTTCTGAAGACTTTCATGAAGACTTTGAAAGTGAAGAAATTGGTGTGTCCGTGAAGACTTGATATTCATGCAAGAAATATGAAGCTTGAAGACTTTCGTGTTCATAGTTTTGTTTTTCTCTTTCTTGAGTCATAGGAAACACCGTACTGTTAAAGGGGGTCGAGGAAATACTAAGGAAAAATTTCCATGTGATGCTCAACTCAAATCCTACACCTACCAATCCCTTCGAGTGAAGCCATTGGAAATCTCATACAGTTCAGTCAATTTCTCCAGTGACAGAGACGAAGTTCTTCTGGTCTCTGAGGAATTTGTCCTGACCAAGGAGTTAGGAATTCGCGAGAGCGAATTGCCTACACAGTGAGGAACATGATAGCCCTGAGGATTTTGCTACTCAAAATTCCGACCGTTGCTGTGCTATGCGCCACCTGTCCCAAAATATCTATCCACCTAACGGTCATATCATTGAAGGGCATTTA